AGAGTAGTTATTCTCGACGATCCGGGATAGATGAGTTTATTGAAAAAGGAAATGAATCAACACCGACGTTGGGCGGAAACAGGTTTATGATTCAATTTGGGTATCAAAGAATTTTATGGGAATCGTATGCGAAGGTTTTCTTATCGATGAAAGGCGTTAAGAAATATCTTTGGAGTCGTTTCTGAGTTGTTCGATCGAATCTTTTCCATCACTTTTCTCACCAATGACCAGTTTTTGTAGGAAATCAAATTGGATCACTCTGCTGCACTTTCAAAGATTGCAGGACATTCATTAGCTCTATTTTTATCGACTTCCTAGGTTGGATGTGTTTTTTCCCACGCTGTGTTCACCTTCTGAGAGGAAGCTAAGCTGTACAAAGTATCGCCGCTATCGGACTAATGGTTCAAGGACCAAATTTCGTACGATCAGCATCAGATCCACGTGTCTAGTTTCGAACCGTAACCTGGCTATTGCTTCATGCGGGAGATGGGCAGTAGGAACGATTTTGTGTAATCGATCCGCCGCACGCGGCTGTCGCGGACCATTTGCCTCGTTATAACAGTTCTAGCGTTCTTCATGCAGCTCAATCGCTATGCGGTTATTACTTATGGCATCATTCTACTGTTAGTTCATTGTTCTTGAATTTCTTACTTACTGCTGCATTCTTCTACATTCCTCCGCGCGCGGCGTCTCTCTCGCCGCGACGCAACAGTTTCGTTCCTACTGCACCACACCCGCTTCATGCTACTGTAAGCACACAGACAATACATATCAGGGATCTATAAAGTCAGGCAATAACATTGGTTAGGCCACACAACCACTACCAACTACCGGAGGACGAAGCATATGGCGGAGGCGCCAAGCAGTTATCTGACAGGACGACCACTTCGAGACCGAGTTAATAGTCCGTCGAGTTCTTCTGACTGCTTTCAGATTTGTCTGGGAGGATGAAAAGTTATACATCGATTGCTGTCTTCAATGCATCGTACAGAGCTGATCCGCACCCCAAAGGTTCCTACAATTCTGAATACAAGTCGAAACCATGGGTGCACTACAAAACGAGAATCAGATTTGAGCACCTATGAATGAATGACCATATGAGGCTCGGCCTATTCAATTCTGCCGACCCATATGACCCTTTAGCGGTTCCAATTGCTCTATATGTCTTACTTGCTACTTAAGTTTTATACAACTAACTTATTATAAGGTAAACAATAAAGTCTCTTAAGTAAATCCATCTCGTCTGAGGGATGGGCCTCCGCATTCGACTTCCATTCAGAAACGGTGCGGGTGTATTGAATGTGTATGAGGCCTATACAATGGCTTTCGGTGGTCAACAGATGTACAAGTCAGTGCTTTTGTTCTCCCAGTCTGGAACCAATTAATCGACCAATGAGGGATGGAAAGTTGTTGCCCTGCGCGGATGTCGCTCGGGATTCGAAAACGTGACCATGCGTGGGTGATAGGGCGCCACTTGCCACTACACCACCTTCCCTTTTGTTTTTATTATATTATCATTTTTTCATTTCTCAAATTTCAATCTGATTCTCTGCAATTTCTTTGGAGTCACTCTTCATTTTGGTTATTCTCTTCACTCACTGAGACAGGACCCTTGCGATACAACCGCCCCAGCCGGATAGCGTTCCCTGCTGATCCAATTTCTTGATTTGGTTTATTATTGATGTTCCTTGGAGCTGGCACATGAAGGTGCAACACGAAGAATTCGGCCGATACGCTGTCTTCATTAATAATAAACGCCAAATTTGAGCCAACNAATAGCCCACCCAATCAGTCACATTTTTGCTCTGATTTTTTGCACTCCTTCCGTGGCCTCTTTGTGGTCGAAATTAGATGCGTAATCTTCCCATTACTAGCGAAACCAATCCGTCGCCACGTTTTCGAGGAGTAGAAATTTGATTCTTTTTTGGGAACTCTGTAGATTGTCAATTACTGAAAGTAGAGTTCCAGAGGCTGAAGCGGTCGAACATAGCAAAGGACTTTTACTACTACACCTATAGCTAACACAAGAACGAACAGTTCGTCGCCAAGCTCTAAGTTGTTGCCGTAATCCCTCTATTTTCACTCTGTTTTAAGGGTCGGGATAGTATACGGAACGATAAATGCTTACTGTAGCTTAGTATGGATGCCTCGATAAACTCCAATGACAACTCGTTTCATTCGATGGGAGCAAGTTCGAGTTGCTCCCACCCCTAAAACGATCGGACCGATTGGACCGATTACCTACCCACCGAACGGTTCACCTTGGGAATCCGGAGCTTTCACCACTTTTCAGGACCTGCCGCGTTCCCTTCCGACCTCATTATGACTGGTGCCAATGTGCCAAAAATGGCAAGGTTTCGAAGCATGGCTGGATCCGGATAGCTTTCGAATTCCTACCAAACTTTCATTTTTGTGTACACGTCGCGGGTATCGGAATAGGACGAGTATCACTGCCTCGCAAACCAGGCCCCATTTGCTGGAATCACCTGTTCAACAGTGGTCACCGACCAAGCGATTCCGCTAGTAGACCGATAATTTTGGACAGGGATGGTGGGCATGACCGTACTATGGCAGAACCAGTTGCAAACAATGGTTCATCCACGGGAAAAGGCCTCAAAGTTGAGACGAACTCACTTTCGTAGGTGACAAACAAGCCGAAGAAAACAGCTCAATGAAATGATTGGATCGAACCTCTCGTGGCTTTGCTGAAACCGAGGTGTACCTGTTTGAAAGCCAAAAACACTGTGACAAGCAATATCGAAAGCCTTATGGACCTATTTCATTACCTAGCGACTGCCCATCACGTCGGTCTCGTCCTTCGGCCTGCGTGAGTGCCCCGAACAAATTCTTTCTAATTGTAAGCAGTAAAGGAGAAAAACAATTGCAAGGAGCAGTCAATAAAGAAGGGGCAAAGCAGCTGAAACCTCGACGATGCACTTTTCACAAAATTCAACCCGAGCATTGATTTCTATCGCAGAACCTGCATGCTTAGTGAGAATGCTGCGCTCAAAGAACATTTTTTACTTTCGTTGTAGAAAACACGGAATGTCCTCCACGTCTGCAAAGGATTGATGTCGCTAGGCAACCCAACGAAATCATGTGTAAGGGGGACAAAAACATACGAAAAGTCGCTCGGGAAATTACAAGTGAGAAGGAATGAAGAAACACCACAACAGCAACATTTGAAGGGACGAACCTGATTTTCAAAAGCACAGACCCGCTAAATTTCAATTTATTCGCAAAACTGTGAATGTATAAAGCTTCCACCGCTAACTAAATGAAATTGCTGCTCACTCCTATTCCTCTTCTTATTGTTAGAATAGGCGCCTTTACTAGAAGGAGTGACCAGCTCTGCGGGTGACCTGTAATGACGCTTTCCAAGAAGGACTACCATGCTAGCACCCTACAGCTTACATTCCTAACATTCCTAATAAGAAATGAATTTCTGGTCAACTGCATGTTCAATGCTTCCCCACCTCAGCTTTTTGCAAGTGGTATCTCATCCCGATGTCCCTCGCCTCCCGAGCAGCAGTTAAAAGTTATACTTCCTTGACTAAGAAACGTTCCCAAGCACCATTACAGGCTCGCAGGCAGGCTACCCCTTATTTTCTGCACTCTAGCCCCTACCTGAAGATTGAAGTTCATAGAAAATGTAATTGAAGAATAGGGCGGAGCCCCTCCCAAGCTAAATCTCCGTCAGGAACTTGGGTTTTTCAGTGATCTTACGGTGAAATAAAATGCAATGGACGCAAAACCCCACGGACAACATTCTTCCTTTCACGAAACATCCATATTCCGTTGTCCAAGGTAGATGAGGTGCGTAGGAGTTGTCTCACAGCAGGTTTACCGTGAGGACCGAGTTCTGGTTAGGTCGCCCACTCCCGACCTTTCAGACCCTCTGTTTCGAGCATAGCAGGACAGAATGGTGAGGTTACTCTCCCAGACGACATCGACAATGGCTGCTGTTTCTCAAGCCGGGGTTTTTCCCTGGTTTCCCCTTACTCTCAAAAAAAAANAAAAAAAAAACTGCGAAAAGGCTCTATTCACAAGGAATAACGGACTCAGAATACCCTCACATCAATTTCCCTTGTTGCCCAAATAAATATGTCGTTACCTAGCCCCTAGGAACGAAGGAGCACCTGGGTGGGTGACTACCTCGTTCAAAAGCTGAAATGGGGAGAGAATCGAATAGCAGTTATACCAGCCGTAAAGATCGGCGCAGTTTCTGCAGATTGCACAACTTTGGATGTACCGTCATTAAATATTCATGCGCTTTCATCGGCGCATGCTTTTCTACTCTGAACACTTTTCACTTGGTTTTTACTTTCATACATGAGCAAACTTGTTCATAGATTCGAGCTCCCAGTGTATTTTGTAAAATCTAATATAGGTAAATATGCCAAAGCTACGATCTTCCCACCTGGATTCGGCCAACCCATCACCGGATCACACAGAAAGAGGAAGGAAGCCAAAAATGAAGAAGATGTCTACTGTGAAGCGAAAAGTCGCGCGTTCAATCAGCTCCGCTCGTCGAGCAGCTACTGTAAGTTCACTTCTTAAGGTCGGCACCGTTTGGCCCATCTTGAATTCACTTCTTTTTACTCGTTCAACATTTAAACCTGGTGTATACAAAATATGCTACGTCCTTTTCAGGGAAATAAGTTGTCGAAACGATTTGTTGGAATTCGCATGTCAAGGATACAGAAAGGGTTAAATCGAGGTAGATTACGAAAAAGCGGTTCGTCAACTAATACACCCCTCAGTCGGAGTCCTCATCATGGCAAACTCTCTCCTATAAAGACTCGGAGACTTTACAAATCGTATGTTGGACGCTTGCATTTCTTAAGTTACGGTATTTCGATGGCGTTTTTATTCCAGAAAACAGGTGAATGTGTCCAGATGCACCATCTGCAAAACCTCTGAAGGGGATCTAACCTCCTGTACCCAGTGTCATAAATTGTGTCTGTTTTTGAGTTTTTATTCATCCAGTAGACTGGATCCCTCTATTTCTTGCGAAAAAAAAACACTTTTACTTTCAGATCATCTCTCCAAGTGTATTCTATACAGTGCGTACATGATTGCTCGTGTGGCACATGTGAATTGGCTTTGTCCCAAAGTTGGTCTTTTCAATGTTTTCGATTCGATATTAATGATAATGTAGGATTATAGGAAATGTTTTTAGTGCATTCGATGTTCCTCGTGTCATTTAATGGTTGATGATCCAACAAATGTTGAATGCGTTCATTGTCTTCAAGCATGGCATGGTGCGTGCCAGCCACCAGGCAGCACTGAGGTGGACCGACAATTTTTCTGCAAGATATGTCTGGAAAGTGTGAGCCAGCCAGAAGGTTCCAAGAAGTCGGTTTGACACGCATCTTTTTGTCTGATCAAGCTTTACTACAACAGCAATTTTTCAGAAGTAGTAACGGAACACCACGAAGATCATCAAAAAATTTGAATAAGCCTTCATCATCAGCAACTACACCATTTCGACCTGAAACATGTAGCAGTGAAACTCAGCGACGGAAGCGTAGGAGGTCAAAGGGAAGTACGGGATCTGGTCAAGTAGCAGTAACTGATATTACTCCGCCTAGTTGCTCCGGGTCAGTTTCCCTTATTTTGCTAGTGTTCGACTTTCACTTTTCCTGAGAGTTTTTTGTGTCTTTGAAACCGAAAACCTTTTTTGAAGTTGGCTGGATGTACCGTACTGATAAAAACGATCATTCGGGGAACGAGAACAACACTTTCTACCTTTGAATTAAAATTTATTTGGTTTTACGATTTCCTGTCTGATTTTATGCTTACAAAAGTGGTGCTTAATAATGTGCCCATTTAAGCACTCCTCAAGAAGCTGAATCAGAAGACGCGAAGGAGGCTATAGACCCTCCCAAGTTTTTCTTATCTTCTCCTAAATCGCGAAAGGACCTCGACTCAAGTCCAGAGAGAAAATCTGTACTCCCTGACTTGCCAGATATATGCTCTTCCAGTCTTGGAGGACAGTTGTGAGTTCCTTATCGTTTCCTACCGCAATTTTTAATATTCAATTTGCATTTTTTATCAGGTTTGATGTTGCGCTTGCAAAGATGGAGGAAATGGGGATGGATAAGAAACCTAATGCTACGAAAGAAAAGGAGCAATGGGTAAACATAGGAGGAGAGTCAGACTTAAAGGTTGGCAGGCTTTTGTTTATATGAGTGCTCACTTGTCAACTAATTAAGCATTGAGCGTGTAAGTACAACTTTCAGGTCCTTTACGACAGTCCTTATCCAGATGATATAAAGAGCGTACAATTATTTTTCGTATGTGCGTATTGTCTAAAGCCTTTCAGCGAGCAAAACTCTTACTTTGTTCACCAGGTTATCTTTAATACACCATTTGCCTTCTTTATGTGCACTCATGTTGTAATGATTGAAGGACTGCTGCCCTCGAATAGCTCCGCCTGGTCGTGAAATTTATCGCGATTCTCATTCGAATCTTTCGTTTTTCGAGGTCGATGGCGCCGTGGAACGTGTAAGTTTTGCTTATTGAATGGCTTTATAAGTGCTCATTAGGACGATTTTCTTTTTTACATTTCACTTTCACGGTTGCGAATAGATGCTCAATTACCAATTTCGTGGTTATTTCGTGTTTTAGACGTATTGTCGCTACCTTTGCCTTCTGGCAATGCTTTTCATTTCCTCCAAAACATCACACAACGAAGTGGGAACGTTCTATTTCTATATCTTGACAAAGAATGACGAAAATGGATGTCGCATACTTGGATATTTCTCGAAGGTCAGTTTTTATCCAGTTATTTGTATGTTGATCAAAATTGAATTTGATATGCAGTTTCTATTTCCAGGAGAAGAATCCGAGCAGAAATAATAACCTGTCTTGTTTGCTGACCATACCAAGTGAGCAGCGACACGGATATGGGCACTTGCTCATCGATATGAGTATGTTTTTTTCCAATCATAATTTCTAGCTTTCCTGAGTTGGTGCGTGTGCGTTCTGCGTGAATGAGGGACTATTCTTTGTTGTTTATCCCTTTGAAGCTTTCTCTCGCATTCATAGACATGTCAGAAAATTACTAAAGGTACTAAGACTAGTCTTGATTGTTCGATGCTGGCGAGTTCGAATTCCTATCAATGATGTGAAGCTAGCTGACCAACCTACGTGAAACGAGTTATTTCGTAGCAGACGTGAAGATCTATGTAGAAGCTGAAGGTCCTTTTCACTCGCTGTGTTACCTATGCCCGCCTACCATTGGTTATGCTTGAATTGATTTTCCTGGAAAGTCTTGCGTCGATGAATAGAGAAAATAACTCTCTTTCAAGAATATTTTCTATAAAAAGGATTTGAATGAATCTAGTCTAGAATTCAGATCGTTGGTAGAATGAGGCAAGATATGTGTTCAGCAAAAAGTGGTGACGCCCTTCGCGTTCAAAAGCAGGCACTGGTTGGGATCGCGACCTGGTCAGGGACAACTGAACACGTTTGGCATCCCCTCAATGAATTCGATTGTCAAGGGGACGATTCGCAATACATAAAAGGTCATTTGAAAGCAGCGGGCTTTTGTAAATCCTTTAAGACCCTTCCTTTTTTATTGGTCAGGGTCCGCGAAGTCTTTTTCGCGGCACGTCTACATCCCATGGAAATCTTGTCAATTAATTGTGAAGTGTGCACATATGTGTATGGTAAAGAGGAAGGGAAAGGGTACGTTAAAGAAGGGAGAAAGGCGCTACCATCTCGTTTTGACGGTATATCAACTTGTTTTGTTTGTTTTCAGGTTACCAGCTATCCAGCATTGAAAGAAAAGTTGGCTCTCCTGAACATCCGCTGTCGGATCTCGGGTTATTCACATACAGGAAATATTGGAAGTCCAGTATATTGTGCTATCTCAGGTACGCTTCTAAAGTGCATCGAGAATCTCTCTGAAACACTTTGTGCTTTTGCATTGTTTTCGGAAGAGTGAAAGTGAGTTGACACAATATTTGGTCCTCACCCGCTTTCGAATCTCCGCTTTCTTCCTTCTACTTTAAGTTTGATTTAGGAAATAACTTAATTTATTTAGATCACGTAAAGATTCCACGAATATCTCAATAAAAAGCATGAGTCTCCAAACCCGTATTCATCCGACAGACATTGTCAACGAGCTGATGAGAAATAATCTACTGATTATGAAGGACGGTAACTACTTCATCAAGACCTGGGTGAGTGAAGTTCTTCCCTCTTTCATCACTGAATAGTATCCATAAATATGTTCTTCTGAATATTTCCCATTTCAGAAGCTTGCGTTCAAATTCCCGCTGTCAGCGTTAAGGCGACGAGTTGTCGATGCTTCTCGAATCAAATGGGCACCTGATTTTGATGTAAACACGCTCGACCCATACAAACTAAATCATTACGCTTAAATTTATTGTAATACAATTACCACAGTTCGGCGTCTATTACCTTTAAGGACGGCGTTTTTCATAAGGGTCTTTGCATATCATCTCAGCATGTTTTTTTGTATAATATCGTTTTGTTTGTCGCTATGAAGTTCTACTATTAAATGATTTATCTTACGCTTTTATGTTGCTGCTGATCGTTTTGACCAATCGGCTTTGTCCAATCCGGAATGGTTTACTTGATTGTTGTCTTTACCATTCTATATTTGCGGTATTTTGACAAACGGTGGCTTGCGAAATATTCCATCAACTTAACAGGTGAATTGGTTGGCAGTCCATAGATATGGCTATCGAGTTTGTTCGATTTTGCTCTAGGGGTTAGTTCTACGTGTCTAAGGGAAGCCGATAGCTAAATTAGGCAGTAGATTTGTTTTGGAGCTACCACATAAGTTGGCTTTCATCCAATCAATGCACCGCGGATAGGCAATTCTTACGTGAAGCTCCTTTTCACGTGCTTCCGAGGCAGAATTTCAAACGAAAATGAGTCTTGTTATTTTTTTTCGTGACTATTGTGCCATTTGTGCCATTAACTTTGCAAAAACAAAGGCAAAATGAGAGATTCATTCCTTGCAGCGCCAGAGTTCGTAGTCTTTTCTTAATGCACTATCTACAGAGAACAAGTAATTTATGTATTTTATCCAACAGTCAAGTGCCTAAGGGAACGAAGAGATGTAAAAGTATAATAAATACTAGATGCAAACGCGGGGCACTATTCTGTAGCCAAGCCTTCGGCCAACAAGCTCTTCTGGTCTCTTTCGACTAAATCCTTTCTAGACCCTTCAACTGTCCGTGGTTGGGTATTCTCAATCGCCGGGAAAGAATTTATTCGGTGACTGAGAAAATATTAGCTAGGCTGTTTACATGGGAAATGTGCGTCGCTCAAGGAAAAGTTTTTCCTTTATCAGTCTTTCTGGTTAATAGACGTGAGACCATGAGCCACCACGTACAACTGTTTGTAACTGTTCTGTTAGCTGTTCGTCCTGGACTTAGTGGCCATGGCTCAGTTCTTGCTTTTTCGATAGAGCTCTGACTTGCTGTCTTCGCAGACTTTTTTTCGTATTTTCCTGAATATCTCTCTTGGGAAACTGTCTGTGCTCTTTTATGTCTCTCGGAAATCACTAGAAATACCAACCCCTCTTGACAATGGCTAGCTACCAAAGGCACGCTAACCCTTTCAGATGATTAAATTGCGTTATCCGATATTCAAGGGCGGAGGTGGTGTAGTGGCAAGTGACGCACTATCATACATGCATGGTCACGGGTTCGAATCCTAGATCGATCGCCTAGGCCATCCAAGCCTTCCACCCCTCCGGGTGGGTTGGCACCAGATCGTCTTGGAAGATGAAGCTCTGAATTATCGGCTGGCCACCGCAAGATATTGTATAGGCCATATAGGCATACAATAGGACACAAATATTCTGAAAGGACGACCAGCGCGAAAGGGGGAAAGACTCTTACCCACTATCCTTACTCCGATATTTTGAATCCGAAAATCTAGCAAGATCAATATGCAGATACCTTTATGAGTACTTCTAAAACTTCGGTTTTACATTTGCATGAATTTGGTGTTTTTCCTTATGCATTCAATTGTAGATATTCCACTGAAACGTCAATTTGTCACCCAAGAAATTATACATGAGCGCGTGAAAACACTGCGTTGTCATGAGCAAAGAATGCATAAACTCGCTAGAAAACGCTCATCTTTCACATTAGGCATGCATTGAGAAAACATCCTGTTTGAAACAAGCCACTTTCTCCCCTTTTGCACTTTTTTATTTTGTTTTCGTGATGCGACCGCCTTCTTTTTTGTGTCCGATTGTCTTTATTCTTGTTCTCGACTCTGACGCATTTCCTTCGATTTCAGTGAATGAAAACAGTGAAAGATGACGAGCAAGGAATGCTTTTGCAGCTTCCCTCTGAGCTGCTTTTGTTGATTTTCGGCTACGTACGTGGTAGGCATTTGGTTCGGCATGTACGATTGGTTTGTAGAAAGTTCCATTGTTTGCTCACCAATCAGCAGTGGTGGCTCACGCGCATATATGTAAGTTTCTTTTGTTCTTTCTTTCAATTCCTGACGACTTTGTTTCAAAGAATTCGATGCTGAGCGTTGACTCAAATACTGTATTACTTTCTGCCTTCACGTGTCATCATTTCACACCGATTTTGCTCTCCCTCTCTTCAAGCATAGGTGCTAGTAAATATATCCATTTAGGTTAGACGGCTCGCTTTTCCGCTGCGGCTTCCGATCAGTGTAACAATCACATATTCCTTCTAAACGAAAGAAGGGCTTTTAGACGCATGAAATGATTCATAAATGTTCAAGTTATCCTTTTCTTTCATAGTGTAATTTTTCATTGTAGCGTTTATCAAACTCTTTTGGAAAGAATGCATGGTTTGTTTCAACGTTGAACTAGGCGTCCAGTGGGAAATCAAAAATTTTTTTTACGGTTTTTCTGTAGCTTGTAGGAGAAGAGAATTGATTGGTTAAGAGACCAAAAGTTACTTGTTTCTCATTTGCGAAAAATTGCTACCATCCGCATTTTTGTAACTTAATTGTGTCCATTCACACCCGCCTAATCGTAAGTGATGTGAGCAATTTAACCTTGGCGAAATGGTGTACCAGAGCTCCCAGTCAACTGGGAAATCAATTTTGCTTCTGTCGATCAGGTACTCCAATTCAGAAACTCTCATCTCATCAAATCCGGCTGTCAGATTGTGAGACCAAAGGAGAAGGTTTCGATGCTGCTCGAAGTTTTGTAGCGGTCGAGGAGGAAGTACTCCGTTGGGGAAGATGGTCTCCTAATAGAAAGTAAGTTTGTAATATATTTAACAGCTCAAAGCGTCGTCCATGGTGACAATCATTTTTGATTAATCATTAGAGGCCAGGCCATTTGATGAATTTTGATTGAATCTAGTTGCAGCTTCACTGCCACTGGCCATATTGCTACAGTAGATGCTTTGCGATTATTTCCTCATCGTAGTTCTGGAAATAGATTTTGCCTTTCTGGCGGGCGTGATAGAGCTATCAAGCTTTGGAATATCAGTGATCTGGAGGTACTGCTGATATTCTTCAATGTGCATTACACTGAAGCATTGCGAAGTGCTAATTTAAGTGTCGTATTCAAAGGTTCCATATCTTTTATAATTAATGTACCATGCTGATTTTAGGAGTCTCATCAAACCGCTGAATCTAAACCATGCTTCGATCTGCAAAATGCACATGAGGTAAAGAATTGACAAATCTTTCATACTTTTAAGAACAAAAGAGTCGCTAGAACGGCTAAATGGTCACTGGTTCTAGGGATGGATATGGTGTCTTGACCAATCAGCCAGTAAACCGGACGAATTCCTATCATGTAGTTGGGATTGTACAGTGAAACTGTGGCAGATTACGCCCACACATATCTCCGTGAGTCCAATTCCTTGAGTAAAGCTGGTTTTCTCTGAGTTATAAATACTTTTACTTTTACGAAACTCTACGTTTGAGTTACTGTACTCGCGAAACAGCGCTTTTGGGAGTGCTTGTAGTTGTAAGTGGGAGCCAACCTGTGTGTTGAAGAAGTCACATTGATTTTGCCAGTCGTTCACCATTTTTCTCTTTATTCGAAATCGGAATCCGTTCTTAATTGCTCCTTGAAGTTCCTCATCAAGCTCATTCCAACAGATTCGTCAACTTTTTACACGACAGCTCTGTAATCGTATGTGCATCAGTCGCGTAATTTAATGCTTACGATGTCGTGATCAAAGGATTATACTTTCCTTGTTGTCGTGAATCATGCGGATACTTTGCATAAGTATGCGATTCAGCCTATCGAATGCACCAAACTTGGTTCGGCCGGTATGTGCCTTGGTAATTCGCCCAATGGGCTCGCTGCATGTTCAACTTTCGGCAAAAAAGTGAGTTTACTATGAAAAGATTGACTTTCACTAAATTGGAAACCTTTGCAATTCTGAAAACTTGGCCATGCGAATTTTGTCACTAGTGGTTTCAGTTTCAATTCTGATAGGAAATTATTTTCAAAATTTGCTGCGGGGTGTTTGAAATGAAATTCAGTTTCGAATACGATATATAATTGCTCATAAGAGTTTTCTGAATCAGAAATTTTCTTCTTCTGCGCCTCCTTTGCGAATCGTGCTGTTTTGCAGGTTTTCATAATCGACACGAAAAACGGGTTGGCTCCAGTTCTAAACTATGCTCATCACAAAGGGGCTGTACTCACTTTAGCCATGCAGGTTTGGGTTTTAATTCTTCAGGTCTATATTTATATTGATATATTATCAAGGATATTAGGGTGTTCATTAGTCAACATGTTGATGATGGGAACAGTTCATATTCTAATCAGTAACCTCATTCAGGACAACATTGTTTATTCGTGTGGTGAAGATCGTCGTATTGTGATGGTAGATATTCGGAATTCGAGCAGACCGGTTTCTGGATTGGTTTGTGGTTTTGTACATCTCTTAGTCTCAGAGATTCTTACCTATTGAGCTATTTCATTAGTGATTAGCTGTGTCATCTCATAAAAATTTGAAAATGCGAAGTTTCAGTGGTCTATGGATTATGTACGTTCGGTTTGTTTCCGAAATAACCATCTTGTGTGCGGCACTCATCTCGGCACGATATCTGTGCTTGATCCCCTCACCCTGAACATCTGTTCACGATTTCAGGTCAGATACTCGTTTTCTCGTTTAGGACTAGTTAAATCTCTGACATTTTTTTTTCAGGTGTCAAATGGTGTTCGCCAAGTGATTCACTCAGGTGGAGCTATCCTGGAGATCAGTCGAGATCGTACCTTTAAGGTATGTTTTTGTTAATTTAGGTGATAACCATTTCTGTTTTTGCAACTTTCGTCGCTCTTCCAAGACTTGTTGGACTATATTTTTCTCACGATGTGGACGAGTTCAGTACTTGGCCCCATGCTGAACTCTGTGTGTCTGCAATCATATCTCTTTGAATTCTTTCCGATTTCCATTTACGGTGCGATTCTTCGACATACGTTGCTCTTCTTTGGATGTTTTTCTTTAGCTTTTCATGGCAGCCAAGCTTTAGTACAGTTCATCTTCTATATATATACGTATCGCGATGCATCTTGTTCAAGTAAATTGAATATCTATGCAAACTATCTTCAATTCGGATTCATCAAGCACTTGTCCCTTTGCTCTGAAGTAATTTTGTGGTTAAACATTCAACATTAGATAACTACTTCGAATGGATCCCAATCGTAAATGACTTGACTATACCCGCTCATAAAGGCGGAGGTGGTGTAGTGACAGCAGGCGCTCCTCACACACGCACGGACACGGGTTCGAATCCCGGATCAATATCCGCCTAAGCCAACCATGCCTTCCATCCCTCCAGCGTCGGTTAATTGATATCAGGCTTGTCTGGGAATATAAAACGCTGAGTTGAACATTGGTTGGCAATTCGCAATTCATTGCATAAGACTCGATACGCATTCAATCCGCAACTGCAATTCTAATGGAAATCGAACGCGTGGGCGCATTCGCTCACACGCGATTGAACAGTGCCCTGACCTTCTATCCTTTTTGTTCTTTATACTCTCTCATACAAAAAGGCGGTGGTAGGGCTGAGGAAGAGTTGAATTAGTGCTGTTTTAAACTTGGAACGCATTCTTTTCAACCTAAATCCATGAGGAATAAAGTTCGAGAAAGTTTGGTCAGATATAACAACTGTAGTTTTTTCGAACTTGACCCAATAGATTAATCTTTTTGCAATTTCCATGAGAATCGGCGATCATCCTCTCTCATTTCTGAGTAGATTTCCCGATACTACGTTTTATCTCCTTAAAAGCTTTCATTTTGATTCTTGGCCAAATGAGCGCCGGGTTGCATTTTTCATTTGCGTAGTCGCTCGTAATAGTTAGCACGTCAATGCTTAACGCTTAGTTCCTTTTGGAATCTTCCCTTCTTCAAAGAGTGGTGGCATTGCTACATATGACTAGCATTACAGTCCCCATTAGATGAACCTGGTCTGCATTCAAAGTTCCATTGTAACTTGAAATAAATCTTCGTTGGTTGAAATAAATCCTCGTTGGAGCCATAGGAAGTGTGAGGAGGAATAAGTTCCAAATAGAATACGATTTCCACTTATCGTGGAGGATCTACAAAATTTACTGTTCGCTCTGTTAAAGCTAGCTGTTGATCCGCTGAGGAGGCCATGCTAAGTGCTGCCCTTCAGGTGTTTGGAATTGACTTTGTGACAGGTGGAGAGCGTCATTCAATAAAGTGTGGATCACATCGGAGCTGAACTTTACACTTTCGCATGTGAATCTTCGCCTTAAGTCCATCATTTTACACTGAAAATTAATATGAAGGAAAAATCTCTATTAGAGGGATTGCACTGTGAGCGACTGTGTGGATTCAACGCACGTCTAAATTTTTGCTATGTTTGGGAATCCGTAGAGATGGCAAGTGACTCTTTCTGTCACACGTGGTCCAGAGACGGCAATTGATATCCGGCCGGGTCAACCGAGCTTTCCATCCCTCTAACTTCTGTTTGTCGGTACCAGACTCGTTTGAGAGCGCAAAATGCTCTGGCTTGTACGTCGGCTGAAACGGCAGGCCATTGTCCTTCATCCTTCCGTAGATTCTGAAGGCATTGTATATCGCAGTAGAGTTGTGAGGTTATATCGGTAACGGTCTTCCACTCTTTATAAACCTCGCTGGATGGCCAGGTTATTTTAAATCATATTTTGTGCAGGGAGGGGGAGTGTGCGTCCCATGTGGCGCCGCTGCCATACCATAGGCCGAAGATCGAATTTCGCTGAGGTCGAACGATTTTTTAAATTTTTTTGCGTGAGTGAATAGAACACTGCCGTAAACATAGAGTGATTCCTCAAATCACTGTTCAGTCGAGAAAGAAATTCAAACGACTATAAATGACAGTCGAATGCATGGCTCATTCCCGGTTATTTCAAGAACCAAAATTATCCTTTGATGTTTTGCTCAGGAACAAAATTTCTCCCTATTTTTGCTTCCCAACGAATTCTGCAAGTGCCAAAAGCTATTAAAGTGCATTGTATGTTTGACTCCGCCATGTATTCCCGTGCATTTGCATACCCTCAGCCTCTTTTTCATCGCCTACGTTTCACGGTGTTTTACAACCATTGGCTGTTTATGGTCATGTGTGCGTGCCTTTGCTTTTGCTTCCAGCGGGAAACGGTTACTTGGACGTGAATCAGGTTTGCCTGGGTCGGAACAATGTGTTGCATTGGAGTATGAAGCTGTATTGAATCGGCATTCCGATCATTTGCATTGTGTAAAGCAAATGGGTAATACTATGTTAGGGTAATATTATGCAGTAATACTTACTGTTCGGTTTGGGCGGAGGTGGTATAGTGGCAAATGGTACAATGTAGCACACGCATGGTCCCGGGATCGAATCCAGCATCGATGCTCGCCCACGCCTACCAAACCTTCCAACCCCCGGAGTGTGCGAGGGGACTATAGGACATTCCAGTGAATTAGTTCAGAAGAAAAATTTTGTGTGTGGTATAGCTTGGCACATTCTTTGGGAAAAGACGGAATCAAACAAATCTGTTAATGAAAACTGAGCAATGAAAAGTTTTGGAGATCCCACCCAGGTCAACCAAGCGTCAATCCTCTCGGGTTGGTACAAGACTCGTCTAGGAGGGTAGAAGCGCCGAATTGTACATCTTCTGGCCACCGAATATGATTGATAAAAGCCACAAAAATAATAGGAAGAGTGTATTATAAATATACGTTGGCATTCATGCTTACAACTATTTTGAAATCATATTTAGGCATTCACTGTTGGAGTCCGTTCTTCGGTACTGGCAGAGCTGAGCTTCGACTGCGATCCGTGCCGCTTCGATTACCGTGACGGCGATTTGGCCATTGGAGCAGGCGATGGCTCGATTCTTCTTTGGACAAATAACTCTTCCCTGTGGAATGGATGAGTTTAAACAAATCTTCATCGTTGATCACTGAGAAAATGGCCATTGTTGCCAACCGTCATGTATGTATACGGCTATTTTTGTATATCCTTGATTTTTTCCCATTCTGATCCCAGCTCTTCGTTTCGGTGTGGGAAGATCTTAGGAACTGGCTTTTGTTGAGGTAGCGTTATAACTGATTAATTTTGAGTTTTTTTAGCTTTTTTTTCTACAAAGTACCTGGGTCAAGCTACTTGTATACAATAGAGCGCTCTCATAACTTCCAAACAAGGAAATGGATAAGCTGCTGTTTACAACGTTTTGTTGTCTGTCTACAACCTAACTTCACGCAAAGCGAACCTTTCATCTCTGCATAGTTGCCTGGTTGCTATTATGCTTTCTTAATATGACGGTCTCTGAGCATTATTGCAAGTGTTTTTCTATGCATTCAAATGTTTCCATAGTTCTGAGTGGAAATCAGAAGTGTGTCGTATCCTCTAGGGATTCCCACTCCCAAGCCCTCGTTGTCACCCATGGCTACCGAGTTTTCCACCGTCGAGTAGGGTTGGGGTCACTTGGTTAGGAGTAATGAAGCATTTTGAAAGTGGGTCCAAATCGTGGTGCCCGCTCGAAAAATTCAGCATGCAAGTAGAAAAATATGGTGGTACTTGAGAACATGGCGCACTCCTGAAACATTGGATACACAGTCCGGTAGCGAATGTAATGCAGTTGGATCGCCCTGCTGCGGGGACACGGATCAAATAGGCGTTCTAGAGAGGAGGAAAGACCTTTCCAGTGCAGTTGGGTCGCATTTGTCATCATGAACCGTCTTCTGTGTTGTGCAATTTAAATTATTCCCATTCATCTTCGTTTTTTCCCCATACTCAAGCTGCCCGTTCCCTATCTGGGTGGTGAGAAAACTGAGCGGATTTGCTTGAAAAAATGTATCCAATGGTACGGACTCTGTTCTTTATCTCAAAAATCGTCGAATGGTCCCGTATGGTAACATAGAATTTGGTGGCCCCCATATATCCTACCTATGGGCACAGAGGTTGAGCTGAATTGGATCTGATCCCATGCAGGTTGTACTACACAGCAGTAGGCTCCCTCGAGGCTTAAGGGCATTTGGACGGGTGAAGTCATCTATCGCATTCTCTTTTGAGTATCCTGGTAGGCGCTCCCTCGAAAAAAGGAAAATTCATTTTCCTTCCCAAATTCCAGCTGCGTTTCATATAATTCAACGCCGTAGTATTGTAGCACATTTCTTAATTAATTATAATTTCCCAAAATAGTGTACCGCTTGGAAATGTAGTGTCTTTCATTGTACCTCTGCTTTGGGGTCTCTCAAAGATCCCTACTTTCTTACTATTCTCTCTTTCCTCTTACTGGTTTCTCAAATTCAAGCTGCCAGTGAAAATATTTCATAGCGCGACGCTTTCTTTATCACATAAATCACTAACCCTGGTGGAATCGAATTTTGAAGCGCAATAGCCGGTCGAAAACGAAAACAAGTCTGGTTCCCAGCAAAGGGACCATTTTAGTTTCTTTTGGATTGCCCGAAAATTGTATTAT